GTATTCCGTTACTCCCCAACACTGACAGTAGTAAACTGTATATCCCTCCAGATTCCATATAATATCTACTTTACTTTGTGCTGTTTCACACCATTAAAATAACTGCTGATTGGCACAAGCACCTTCGACCTTTGGAGTAGCACATTCAGCCGGTGCACGGCCTCAATAGTCTTAAAAAGCAGCAAACTAGGGCCCAATACGGATAAATCCATTACATGTGGAGAAAAGAAAAAAAATTGCAGGTGTTTTGTTTGACTCTGAAGTAATTTGTAGTTAAGAAATACTACTGTAGAGGTACTTTTGATCTGTCAATAAGTAATCGGTGTTGCACATCAACGTAATAATACATTTTTGCTATTGCTACAACCTGTTTTACCTGAGACAAGTTGATTTGTGGACTTGCACTCATACAGAGGGTGAGAAATCGTAACTGACATTACTTTCCAAATTTAGATTTCCATACTTGCCTATCTCCGTGTCAAAAAAGAAACAAGATCCAGTCTGTGGGCAGAATGAGCACAGCTTGAAATACCACTCCATCTCAGCAGAGACCTTTGATGTCTGATGTTCTTTAATGAAACATCTCACTCACATCACAGCACCCTATTAAATCCCACTCATACAGGGAGACAGGTAAAGAGTGAGAGTAAGAAAGCCAGATCAGGAGACCGCTGACCTTTATGTGCATGCGTGGGAGAGAGTGTGTCTTTAACAAGTAGAAAAAGAAGGGAATAAAACACCACTGACATCAGACACACCATGAGTTCAAGCCAGAAAAAAAAATCTGATTTCAAAACCACTTTATTGCAGGTCTTCGTTATATAAAACATATCTAGTTACATCACAGCTTGTTTTGTGTACAGTGTGTACTAAAGTATGAAGAGTCAAAATTAAATTAACTGTATACTTTATCATACACTAAAAAACAGTATCCGTGCCTGCAGACAGTAATGCACACAGTGCAATAGTCTGATAAACAGCCGTCGCCTAACTGGACCCATGAAAAGAAGGCAGCTAAGCAAGGCAATAGAAAGAAGCCCTAATGTGATAACACACAATAGCACATATCCCAGTAAGTGCACAGTGGTGGTTTTATTCCAATAAAATTCCCAGACAAAGTTGCAAAAACCTTTTTTTTTTTTTAAAAACTACATCTAATAGTTTAACCAACAAGTAATGTGTGACGTTACCATCTCTTTGTTTTTAGTTGTGAGCACTTGAGCAGCCAGCTGCATAGAGCCAACATGAAAGAGCGCTTGTTCTCACATCAACTACTTTATAACTGTTGGAAAGTAGCATCATTTATGGTTTTACAAGATTTTGCTCTGATTTGGTCTGTTTCAAAGTTGATGCTTGACTCTTTCTTTGCTTAAAGAGTGCTTAAGTTTCTACGTGACAACAGCAGCTAAGATGGCGAGCTAATTCATTTAGCATCAGATTGATAATCTGAAAAGATAGCAAGCGTTAACCTTTGACTCTGGATATGACAGTTAATCAAAATACAATTGTAAGTGCACAGAAATTGGACCAAACACCAGGAAAAGCATTGGTGGAAAAATGTAAATAAAGGTTTAAAAAGTTTAACTTGGATTCAACTTCCATGGCTTGTTACCTTTTTAGATTCCATCACAAAATTAAAAGGGATTTAATGTTGTTTTATATTATCTTCTTGAAATTATACCGTATGAACATTACATACACAAAATTAATGCTCGTTAATGACAAATAACGTTAAATCAAGCTTTTTAAAAGCTAAAATGTTTGTGTTTTAAGAGGTCTGACAGAAAAAAGGTACCGATTATTGCATTAGTTACATTTGTGCATTTGGTCATCTATAAAAATTTCTCACAAGACATCCTGCACATATTTCTCTGTGGTCTAAAATATTGGACATGATACAACCATCAATCTCTGAGTAAAAAGTTTAGCGTATAGTTGCTATAGTTTGTAACTGGTTGCAAAGAGGGCAACCAAGAGCTTTTTAGCTGTGATTTTCTTTGGTTGCAAGCCTGTACTTTTCATGAAGGATGCCAGCTTTTTTAAATAAATATTAACTCACTGCTCACTCAATGTAGCTTGCCCTCACCAGTGTGTGAATGGGTGGATGACTGGTTGTGTAAAGCGCTTTGGGTCCTTAGGGATTAGTAAAGCGCTATACAAATACAGGCCATTTACCATTTACCATTTCACTGCTAGCCAAGCAGCAAAACTCGCAAAAGTGCAAAGCAAACCAGAAACAAAATATTTGCCTTCATAGTAAAAGTGCCTCAGTGCTACAGCAAACACACTTAATTAAGTGCAAATTTTCTTTACAAGGTCAACAGCTTCAATTTCGGTTCGTATCATACTTTTAACGGCCTTACTACCGCTTGGAGAGTAGTTGGCAAACTTGCATAATCCATGCAAATTACCGGTGAACAAGGCAATCTTCTACCTATCAAAGCACTGCTAAGGAGGTTTTGTCCAGCTGGTCAGGGATTACATATCTTCCCTAGTGACTGGTGGTTTCCAGGGAGTCACTAACTGCTCTCTAGGTCTGTGTGACTAAGGCTTTATTCACTTGACCCTATGTTGTAACCATAATTGTCACACATCCAAAATGGGGGACAAACAAACAAACAAACTCCAATCTGAAGCATCTCAACTATGGTGAGACACCATCTGTAAAATGGCAGCTATGAGCCCCTAAGTAATAAAATCTAAATGATCATCATCACTGGCATCTTCACACACACACGCACGAATCCCGAAGGACCTGCAGAAAACCCACTTTTACTTTAATCACATATACATGAACCCTCATGTATTATTACCATACACACAGTTTTATATAATCACTGTAAAAATAGAAGCTTCTTCTTATTTGCTGGCGACCGTTCTCCGGGGATATCAAGACCAGCTTGACCTCAAACAAAAAAAAAAAAGAAAGAAAAAAAAAGGAAAAAGCTGAACAAGACCAATTTCAAAGCAAAGCAATACATTATCTCTAATGATGTTAACAATGGATAATTTTAGCTAATCCCAGGTGATGATTAAACTGTTGGTAGTTTAGCCAGAGACGAGCAGAACTCAGAGCCACAGGTGCAGCGCAGCGGTGCTCAGACACACCAAATCACTTAGCAACCACTTTGCCTTATCACCCAGCAGTCACCAGGGTCCTGTTAGTGTATTAGCAGGGTACTCAGTCCTTTTCATTAGTGCCCCTGGCTCATATCTGCTTCCACCTGGGTCACAGATGAAATGATTTTTTTCCCCTTCTCCCCCTAAAAGGAGAGATTTGTTTTTTTTGCTACTTTTTTCTCTACTCTTTTCAGTTTATCAGTGTACTTCACAGGGATTATTCTTCATCCTTCTTACAGAGCTGCATCTCCTTGGCTCTCTGTCCATGCTGTGTAGGGAGAAATCCCATTTATATTCTCCTTCATGGCAGGGTAAAGACCTTCTGGGATAGTTAAGTCCAGTTTCATCTGTTTGTGCGTGTGTCTGTGTGTGTGTGGACTCCCCTGCTTCAGATCCTTTGAGCTTGGACATCTTAATTTTCCAAAAAGTACAAATACAAAACCTGACATTTTGGGTTTCAATGTGGCAGCAGTAGGCACATCATATCTCTGCTTACTTCAAGCTCTATGAGGCAATTTTGTACCTGAAAAGCCCCAAATGTCAAAGGGAAAATGACTCGTTGACTTGAAAACATGAAATGAAATGAATGAAACTTTTCCATCCTCTTAATGGGATGCTGAAGTGCTTTTTACCCTTGCATTTTTCAACACCTTTAAATTTCATTCCCTTTTTTTTTTTTGCAAGGATAGGAGGCAAGGAGACATCAGCATTTAGGATTTAAACTGATATGACAAATGCGTTTTTCCAGGAAACTTTGCCAAGTTCAACTAAGTTGTTTTTGAACAGCTAAATGTCCTGTTCAGCTCTCAATCCACTGACTAGTCTGTGATTGGCTCCAAGGCACTGAGGGTACACGGGTCGTCCGACACACACTGCTGCTGCTGCTGTTCCTCAATACCACGGGCAAACAGCCTGATCAACTGGCACTGGACACTGCAGAGATAAAGACACACACAAAATGCACCATTTAGCCTGAATAACAAACCATCAACTTAACGACTATGTTCTTTTCTGTGAGACTTTACTGCCCATGTGGCCGCAGAAGCAACGGAACGGCACCCCTGTGTTAGGACTCGACACGCAAACTTGAAAGTGACAGTTTGAGACGCAGACACCTTTAAAGTGCCGCCTATAACTGATGGAGTATATGCACAGAAGAAAAGCTGTAAAATGGCCGGTGTGTTGTACAGTCTTAATAACTACCTGTGCCTTTTTCTCCTAAATGATACCTATATTTATGTCAGAACACCTGCTGTTTTCTTGGAGGCGTAAGCAGCAGTTAATATAATGGTTTATCTCTAGATTCTATTTATACATGAAATGAAAACACAAAATCAAGCAGAGGCATCTTCAGGTTGTAATTACATAAAAAGGTATCTTAGCTTGTTTGTAAGTATTTGTCTTTATCACAGTTGTGCCTTGAGTTTAACTTTTGCTAAAGATCTACTTCCTACATCGCACTCTTTTTTTCCCCCCTCCAACTTTCCTTCCGTCGCACCCGGGCTATTACCATTTATTATCCAAGCAGCACTCTGGCTGGCTCACTCCGAGAACGATTAGTGGCGAGGAAGAGGCAATAAAAGGACGGACTTCTGCTTTAATTAAAGGGGAGTAGCCTTTTAACATGAGGAGGGCCGTTAAATTAGCAACATTACAGCGCCATGCATCATTGGCAAAGTACAATGGAGCATGAAATAAATGATGCGTCAAGCGGTGCCACGCCGGCTGTATAGAGATCTGATAGTGGGGAAAGCTGAAGTGTGGACAGGGCCAGAATAATGAGGGGGGCTAATTCCATTGAGTTGCCAAGATTGTACAGAGGGGAACAGTGAAAGACTCTCCTGACCAGAAACTATTGGACACTAGTGGTGCTAATGGCACTGCTGCTCTCGCTTCTGTCTCGCCACACAGGAGGACATCTTTATCACCAGCCCTTCTTTTATATTGACAATTTAGCTACACACAGAGTATTGTTGTTGTTGTTAGATCTTTAAATCCTCTACATGTTTTTTCCTGCTTTTTCTTTCCAAATTCAAGTTTTCTAATATAACTCCTTAGCATCTAGCACACCACTCGAATCCTCTTTTTTTTTTTAAGCCAAATAGTAAAACTGTAGATTTGGGCATTATAGTTTCTTTGCTAAAAACACTTCCTTTTGCCTGTACCTCTAACCCTAGATGGGTCACTGATAGATATTAAAAGTTTGGATAGCTTGTAGCCAAGCTAGCATTGCCATGTGAACATGTTATAAGCCTAATAAGGCTTCGGTCACTTAGGCCAGCGGGCCATGGACCGGTACTGGTCCGCGAGTCGATTGGTCCCGGGCCACGAGAGTTGAGGCTCAGGTGTGAAATTTATGGTTTTCAGGGTTTTTTTGTTATTTTTTATCGTTTTTATCGTGAACTCAGTTTCCCTGGGTCTTTTCCCTTGTGCTATGAATACATTTTCTTTCTTTTGGTACCGGTACTGGTTTTACTTTGTTGTATTTATCCGCAACTCCTTAAAGGCCAGCTCGTGAAAATACTGTGGCGCAAAAAAGGTCGGGGGCCGCTGACTTAAGCCTGGAGCCCAGTTGGTAAGTCCCTGGCAATCTCCGCTAACTAGGTGTTATCGGATGTGCATTCCCCAATCAGTTTTCTACTTGTCGAGTAGTTTGGTATCTTCCATGTTAACTAAAGTGACTGCAGAAAACTCCAGAAACCACTTGCAAACAGTTGAGGAAAACTCTCACGACTGATGGTTGCTAACTGGTCTCCATGCCTGTGTGACTAGAACCTAAGGTCCATGTTCAGCATCCTAAAACTCAGTCCACTTAAGCTGTCATCACTTTGTCAGTGGCAGCTGCTCTTTAGAGGACATTTCAGGATCTCGTCAGATAGGTAACCCTTTTGTATATTGCCCACCCTGTAATTTGCCAGTCTAAGGTATCCTTTGCTTGCACTGTTAGACACTTCTAGGTCTCTGGTCATCAATCTGCTGATCTGTTCTGGCATGTAACCATGCTAATGTTTAACAATTCTCACTAAAAACAGTTATCTAAGGCTGATCTGAATGTCTCGATCTTTGATGGCTAAAATCCAGGATTCACCAAAGTCATTGGGATCAAGGAACATGCATATCTGAACAGCTTTTCACAGCCATCTACCCAGTACCTTTAGGTGTTTCAAAGCCATACACGACCAAGGCGAAAAGTCACAGTCACCCAAGTCTACAGGCTTTTTCCTACGATTTCAGTTTGGATCAAAGCAGCGGCTAAAAGTTGTACATCTGAGTTTTACTTCAGTGCACTGTGAATACAGAGTTGTCAGGCATACAGAACATAATCTGTTTCTACTTACGCTTTAAGACATAATACTCAGGAACATTTGGGGCAATTTAAGCCAAGATTACAGCTTAATACCCAAAAGGAAAGTCTTTACCACAAATATCCAGCCATGATGATGCAATAGGTATGAGCCCTGCACGTATTTCAATACTTCTTCCATTATACTGCTCCTACAATATTATGTGCTTCAATTCAGAACCATTTGCCAGTCGTCATCTATGCCGAGTGATGCAGGCCCGTCTTTACCGCTCCGCCGCACAGAGTTCATCTTTAGTGACAAGCTTCATAAGACAGTAAAAAGAAGTTATCGAGGTTTGCTCCTCTTTACCAGGCAAAGTAGAGTTTAAAAGCATTAAAATGTCTAATATATGAGCAAAACATTCATCACAACTTATAAATAAAAAAGCATTTGATTGTTTTTCCAGTGTTGGTTTCCCCAAGTTTGAGAGATTTCTTTTCTTTTTTCATTTTTTTAAACACCTTAGTCTATTCCAGGCAATTTCACATGTTCACTGCAGTCACCAAGCGTTTCTATAAATCACCTAGAGGATCTTATACGAGTATGCAAATATGCATCTAAGTAGACCATGTAACTGTACCGAAAGTCTTCCTTTTGGGGTTTAACCTCTTACCACAGAGGTTTCTTTGGTCCGGATATTCCCAGGTATTTAACCCCTAGTGGGATTTTCCCCTTGGAGGTGGTCCTCAGAGTTACTGACCCACCTTGTAATCATTTGAGTCTTGGAAGGGGTGTCAACATTATAGGTGCCAAATGCAGTATTTCTACAAGTCAGACCTTGGTTGAATCTCTTATGATGCCTCGTAGTGTACGTCGCACAATTGTCTGTGCAGTCACACATGATTCTGTTGTCATTTACCTGACTTGAATGGCAACCTCAGGCAGGATCTCCCCATCGCAGCTCCAGCTGCCAAGGGGAGTGCTGTAGCCAGTCTTTGTTGCAGGCTCGCTCAGGTCTTCCAGTGAAACCAGTATGTGGCGCTCTGGCTCAAAGCGAAACTTCCTCACCCGGTGGACCTCTACAAAAGAGTGGTCGAACTGGAGGAGAAAGGCAGAGACACATGAGAAATGATGAAAGGGGAGAAGACGGACAAATAAGATGGATAAAGGAACAGATGTTCTCACAGATGCTGCAGATGTTATGCTCACCTGAAAAGGTTTCAAAGTGAGCAGCTTGAGAGCCGACACAAGAGCTCATCTTTGTTTTAGTGCTCGACTAAATCAACGTCACAAGGAAATAAGACGTACTGAACAGTGAGGATGGAAAACAGCATTTTAGAAAAGAATTTCTAATTAGAATTTCCTCATAATAAGTGTCTCCACCAAATTTTGAACTACAGCTCAATATATCACGTATAAATGCTTGTCTAACAACAATAAATGAATGATTAACCCTTGATTATGGGGAACGGAGCCTTCAGTCGCTCTGCTCCTTGGCTCTGGAAATCT